TAACCACAGTATAAATTGTTCTCCTAATAAGAAAATCTTCATATTCTCTTTGTCATTCTAGTACCCGTACCAAGTAAGAAATCCTAGTACCTTAAACCATGAAACTTTCAAGCTTCTTTGCCATTTTTACTGTCGTTTTTTGTCGTCTCGGCATGATAAATTCACAGCCTCTAGTTCCTGCACTCTTCATATTTGGAGACTCAGTTGTTGATGTGGGAAATAACAACAATCTTGAAACAATTGTCAAAGCAAATTTCCCACCTTATGGAAGAGACTTTGTCAATCACAAGCCAACCGGGAGATTTTGTAATGGAAAACTTGCTTCAGACTTCACTGGTACCAAACTTGTCTCACTTCTCGATCAATCCACCTCGTCTATAATATAAGTTATTCGAGAGGGGAGAATTTATTTATTTAAATTACGTCTTCAACACGTGGATAAGTAGATTATGACCAAACTTGACCTTTAAAGTTGTTTGATTTCTTCATATGCAGCTGAAAACCTTGGATTTACTTCATCTCCGCCAGCTTATCTCAGCAAGAATGCTACAGGAAAAAACCTGCTTATTGGAGCCAACTTTGCTTCTGCTTCCTCTGGTTATTATGATGAAACAGCAAAAATCTATGTAAGAACACATCATTAAAGTCTTCTTTGTATAACACCAACTTAGACTATTTTCTATGTTAAACCACCTCGTTTTAAACCTTAAATTGCTAGAGAGGATTCGTCCCCTCATGTGCAGGCTCAATTAAGTGCATGTCTGGTATGCAGTGTTGGACACGACTGATTGATATAATGAACAAGATCTTTTTATTTTTATTTTTAAACTAACACCAATTTAGACTATGAACCACCTCGTTTTAAACCTTAAATTGCTAGAGAGGATTTGTCCCTTCACATGCAGGCTCGATTAAGTACATGTCAAATATGCAGTATTGGACATGTATGATGAATATAATGAACAAAATTTTAGCTTATTCTTCCTTTTTTCTCTTTAATACGGTTTAGTTGTATCCAAATCTTTAGCGGCATTCATGCCATAAGTGGTTAGAGATGCAAGTACGTATTTTTATATCTTTATCTTCGACAACCTAAAACGGGATTTTGCTCTTGTAGAATACAATTCCATTGAGCAAGCAACTAGAATTCTACAAGGATTATCAGAAGAAACTGGTGGGAATTGCAGGGAAATCCAATGCTTCATCAATAATTTCTGGTTCAGTATACCTAATTAGTGATGGAAGCAGCGATTTTGTTCAGAATTACTACATTAATCCTCTTCTCTACAAGGTCTACACAACTGATCAGTTCTCAGACATTCTCCTGCAATCCTACACAAAATTCATACAGGTAACATCTACAAAATAACTTAAATAGGAACTCAAAATAATTGGGTTCAAGGTCGATCATGAGACGATCGAGGATACGACATTTTTCGCCCCGTATTGTTGAATTCTAGCTCCGCTACTGTTAGTGAGCTTAAATGCAAGTTGAATGGTGGCTTACGGATCAAGCCCTAATCTTAATTACTAGAGCAATATGAAGTGAAAAAAATGAGAAACGTGCACACAAAATTATATTGGTTTGTTCTCATTGGAGAGCTATATCCACTTGCTAATACATATATAGAATGAGTAATATACCCTCTGACCCGAAGTACGCCTAGCTCCTGTTTGGTTTGATTAAAAATCAAAATTTCAGTAGATTTTAATAAAAATTGATAAAATATGTAGTTGAAAAGTTGATAAAAGTTGTGGATCTCATTAATGTGTGGTTGAAAATAAGTTTGATAAAATGACTTATGAAAATTTGGGACCAAACGGGGACCTAATAAGTTCACGGTATGATGAGAAAACTACTCCTTTTTTTATTTTTATTTTGGGACAGGAATTGTACAAGTTGGGAGCAAGGAAGATTGGAGTGACAACATTGCCACCACTTGGATGTGTACCAGCAGTGATTACAATATTTGGAGAGGACAGCAATGAATGTGTACAAAAAGCAAACAAAGCAGCAATTTCATTCAACAATAAACTGAACGCAACATCCCAGAATTTGCAAAGCAAACTTTCTGGTCTTAATCTGGTTCTTTTGGACATCTACCAGCCTCTTTATGACCTGGTTACAAAGCCTAGTGACAATGGTAAACTTTCTATTCCTATCCAAAACCCACAACTTTTACACACATTTCGTAAGACCCACAACTTTTAATTTAATAAAGCTATGCCAAACATGACGACGACATGTTTGTCTGTATCGTTTCGTGTCCATATTCATGGCGTGTAATGAAACTTACAATTGAAATGTAGGCTTTTTTGAATCAAGAAAGGCTTGTTGTGGCACAGGATTGGTGGAGACATCTATACTATGCAATGCAAAGTCCCCTGGAACATGTAGAAATGCATCAGAATATGTGTTCTGGGATGGATTTCATCCTTCAGAGGCTGCAAATAAAATTATTTCTGATGACTTGCTTGCTGCTGGCATTTCGCTCATCTCCTAAGTTTTTTAGAGATTTAATTTTCGGGTCGATTGAATTTGCTTTTGATGTTCAATCTTTAAAGGGTTCGTTTTGAATTCTACGTTTGTTTATTTGTCGTCGTGAGTGACTTGTAACAATGTGATGTCGATTGTGATTACTTTTGCGGTATTAGTTTTATGACGATTGTCTTCATTTTTAATTTATTGAATATGAGAGTACTAAGAAATACCTATATTTTATATTGTGTTATTGAAGAAAATGGACGGGATCTGTCTCCATAAGTTGGGGAATGACAGCTTCAAGATAAAATAAAATAAAATAAAAAATAGAAAATTAAGGATGAAAATGTTACAATAACCATAGGTTGGGGACTAATGGCACAACTTTCTCCCATTTAATTTGGTCATTATTATTCGGGAAATTTGCAGCCGAGGTACCAAACATTTCGTTTATTAGCAGACTTTGCTTAAATCTTTTGTTTGTGCCATCGTGAGTACCAAACTTTTCAAAAATATGCAGCTCAAGTCCGTATTAACGATTTCCGTCAGTTTGACCCTAAAAATTGTCAGCTGACTTCAAAAATTAAACATATAATAATTTTGACCACATAAGGTAAGGGTAAAAATTTAGGGTAGAAAAAACTCCCGAACCGAACCCGACGGTTTTTCTCAAATTAAATACCCGAATGGGTATTTGAATCAAGAACTGACGGGTACTGTTCGGTTCTGATTCTAGGCTAAGATCCGAAGAATCGAATCTTCTTAATTTTTTAATTTATTTATTTTAAATAAACAAAATTATTTTATTTTTTCTAAATAAATTTGTTAACTAGTTAATTTAGTTCAAACCACAAAATATGATTTTTTCTATTTCTAATTTTCAGTTCAAAATCAACTTAATCAAGTTGACCTCAATTTTATCCAAATCTATTACTCTGCTGTATTGTCGTTTCTATTGGAGAAAATCAAATTAAAGTTCTACAATATCTCTCTTAATTATTTTGAACTCGCTATCTTTCTCTTCCTGTGATTTTAATAATCAAATTTATGAAGAATTCATCAAAGAGAGACGTAAAAGACACATAAGATTGGACTACATTATTTTGTAAGAGCTAATATTGAATATATAATTAATTAAATTAATGTAAATTGGACTATGTTAAAAAATTTAATTATAATATGGAACCGGATCGAACCGAACTTGAACGGTTCTATAGTTAAATTTGGATTCGACGGTTCCACTTACTAAATACCCGAAAATTTCTGGTCTATTCGGTTCTCATTAGAAACGAACCGAACCGAACCATGTCCAACCCTAGGTAAAATTGTAACTCTATAATTTTAATATTAAAAAAACAATTAAAAAGGGGAAAAAAACATATCCTCCTTCATCTTCCCCAATCCCCTCACCCCAAAATCAAAACCACCCGCTGCCTAATTACTGCCCGCCGACACCACCACCCTCGGGTCTTACCTGATTTTCTAACAATGGCCAAAACTCCAGTGCTCGATCCTTTAATTCATTTTTAATCAGCACTATGAATTTCTTCAAATCCATTCTATCAGAGGATTCAGATTCTCCAAAACCAAAAAGCGAAAACCCCCATGACCCGGAATCCGAATCCCCACCGCAGAGGAATAAGGATCCGAATGATGTCGGTCAGGATCCAGTTCACACAGACTCGCTACCCAAAAGCCCGTCTGATTCATTCGGTGATGGTGGCGGTGGGTGGAGTTTTGGGGGTCTGATCAAGACTTTTGCGACCCAATCCGAGTCAGTGCTGGAGACATAGAGGCGGGATCTTAAGGAATTCGGATCGGGTCTTAAGAAGGAGTCAGAGGTCATCCGAGGTGTGTCGGATGCTCAAGGTTCGCTTGAATCTATTGGACAGGTCCTTGATGGGGTGCTCAAATCAACTGCTGATATAATTTCACAAGGGAAAGAGAGCCTTGGCTCGGATGGGAAGTCTGAAATGGGAAGATAAAGGAGGAGATGGTTCCCCCCCCCCCCCCCCCCCCCCCAAGNTCCCCCCCCCCCCCCCCCCCCTTTTAATTTTTTTTTTAATATTAAAATTATAGAGTTACAATTTTACCCTTACCTCATGTTGTCAAAATTATTATATTTTTAATTTTTGAAGTCAATTGACAGTTTTTCGGGTCAAATTGATGGAAACCGTTAATACGGACTTGGGTTGTATATTTTTAAAAGATTTGGTACTCACGGTGACACAAATTAAAGGTTTGGACAAAATCTGCTAATAAACGAAATGTTTGGTACCTCGGCTACAATTTTCCCTTAATATTCAAGTTTTCCACTTCACAAAGCAATTACGTACATTTAGTACGCTAAGTTGAATATTATAAATAAGGGTTGAGGACCTATTTTTACCTTTTATAAAGGTTAGGGAACTAGCTACAATTTTTCCTAATTAAAATTAAGGGCATATTCTGCATCCACGTTAATCTTTCTGCTACAAAAAGGAATAATTTTGCATCAAAATGCTTAGTTTGGGGATGTTCATGCCAAGAAATAAACATTAGGGACCATTTATATAATGTTAGAAAAGGTTAGGGACTTTGCAACAAATTCCCATTATACTTTTTCATTGCACTTTTTCCCTCCTAAATTTATTTTTCACCCTTCTCATAATTGATTCTCTTATGACGAAGCTGCAATTTGTCATAATCAATATGAATTGATAAGAGAAACAATTTCAACAGCAAATTTAAGTTAAAATTTGAATTTATAGCCAAATAGAGACTGAAAAGTGGAGAAATTTTATCAAAAATCATGGATTATAGTTTAGGAGCGCTGAAATTGCTGTGCATTCAGCTTAAAAATGCTCGCCAAGCGCCGTCGCCGAAAGCCTTCACCCTAGGTGGTATTCTCTTCCAACGCGCATGGCTACAGGTATATATGAATGTATGTGTACGTATATACAAGTATATGTGTATGTGAATGTATAATTTCCTGAGTATACTGTTTTCCCCCTTATTCTCTCATTAAATTCATTGTTGGAAGCCGAATTGCAGGGCGTTTTAGTCTCTACACCGTCGTCCTCCCACTCCGGGGGTGGAGGCTTCCACTTAGACGATGGTACTGGTGTTATTGAGCTACTCCTTTCTGGAGACTTGCGTAATCGCAATTGGGAAACGGGTCGGATTTTTTCACTTGTTTTTTTTTTTTTTTTTTTTTCCCCTGAAAATTTCATCACTTGTTTCTCTAGCGTACGTTTGTGTGTGTAGGGATGTACGTGATGGTGGTTGGATTTTATTCTATTGCTAATGATGGTACCTCCGTGCTCAAGGTAAAATATCAATCCCTTAAATCCTGGAATTTCTACATGAATATGCAAATTTGGTTGTATAAATGGTGTAAAGTGAATATTTATGATGCTTTACATGAAGTAAAGAATAGTGTCACGCTTGAGGATTTGTGAAACCCTTGTTGCTGAACCTTAAACTGTTCCTTTCTTGCCATTGAAAGAGAAGTGTTGTAAATTTTTACCCTCTAGGTATGGATAGTTTATAGTTTTACTATCATTTTTGAGCCCTCGAAAAAGTATGATAAGGAGACACTGATTAGGGCACAACTGGTGTAGACTGCAAGTTACATTGTAAGTGAGCCCAGCTCAACAATATATCTTTAGGTCTAACCATAGAATGGATGGAAAGTGACACGGTAAAAGAATACCACACAACCGAATTACTGAATTAGGCCAACGTATTCTCCCGGTGGAATTCATTCCATTCTGATATGAGATATGAGATGGTCTAGCCTTTCAAACAACCTGATCGTTGCATCTATGCATTGCTCTTAGGATTGAAGGGAGTTCGTTCCAAAAGAACCAGAGATATGGTATGTCAACTTGCAAGAGATCCATAAATATTTGGAATGGTTTCCCAAAAAGAGATCCATATCATGATGAGTTGGGTGCTGTTGATCCACCTACATTTCCTGCAGTCCCATCACCTGTTATGAGTAACATATTTAACAGCCCATCTTCACTTCTGGTTGCAAAAGCAGGTGCAGAACTTGCATACTTTAAATAGAATATCTAGTGAAACATTCCTTGGCGAACCAATTATCTCAAAATGTGTCCTTGTGAATGGTTATTGCCAGGTATGTTTAATGGAATGCAAAATTGTAATGAGCCAGTTATAGTAGCTCAAGTTCTCCCTGCATATAAAGTTACATCAAATGAAAAACAAATTTATTAGTTGTCTTCTGGTGTAAATAAATTTGGCTTTCCATCTATTGATCTTCCCAATAATAGCGTGCTTAGGGTTTGACAGCAATTAGCCTCTAATCTGGTAGAAGTGGTAGTAGGAAGAAGGCCCTCTTCCATTCCCACAGAATTAGATGTGTTATGAATGTAACAGAGAATGGTGCCAAATAACACGGGGCTTGTTGGGAATCTTGAGATTAGCAAGGAGGCAGTCAGGACCTACTCGTTGAGGAATTCGATAAGTGGTTATTGGCTATCGCATGGAAAAAATACTAGCAAATATAAATAGAAAATCCACAAAAACAAGGTAATGGACGGGTTATAGTGAAATTGCTGGGTCTTGATGGATCATAAGTTGACAACTTGTAGATGTCAATAGGAATAGTTGTGGAGGATGGGGATCAAGAAATAGCAGGATATAGGTCCTCTTGCCAGAGGCCTCGTGTCCTAGGAAAATATCTAGCCAATTTCCCACAAGGATGGAAAAAATTTGGATTATACTCTGAGGCCTGCACCAAAGCAATATGGAATTTAGGAAAAAATGATAGAAGAGAGTACTGTGATAGGTTGTTATTGGAGCACATGAAGTGTACCGCTTGATTGCCTCGTGCTTCAATTAATGATCAGACTGCATGAAAGAGAGAGACGTGCAGTGTTGTGACCAACTAAAAAGCAAAAAGTGAGCATGGCTGACATGAAGATATTAAGATGGTTTGGCCCTAAACCAGAAGTGATTTCTTGTCACAACGATATCGCAATTAACATCTTCAGTTTTCTTTCTTCTATTAGATGTACGACTAGAACTTTTACTTATTAGCTTTTATAATATAATTATATGAAAGAAACTAAGGGAAATGGCTCTAGGTTATATAGTTTGGTCTTTTGAGGGCTTGGATCGACTACGTCCATTGATCTGGCATGCTAGACTAAGAGATCAGAAAAGAGGGCTAGGGTATTGCACAGGAGGGTGGGCATAGGGAAGCTAACTTTCTATCAAACAATATACGGTTTCTTCTCCAGAGAATAGCAAATAGCTAAGGGGGTGTTCTCTTTGTGTTTCAGTTTTGTGTTTTGAGTTTTGAATTCATTTTGAGTTTTGTGTTTTGAGTGTTTGTTTTGAAATTATTGAAAATGCGTTCTTTTTGTTAGTTTCTCAAAACAAAAAAAAAATGATTTTTTTTTTTAATTTTGAGAATCACCACAACACCACCTAAAAAAAAAAAAAAATTAATTTTAATTTTTTTTTTTTAAATTTTTAGAAAAACC